CTCGGGAGCAGCGCTCCGGCTCCCTCCGACGGCTCGGGAGAAAGCCCGGCCGCTCGCGCACGCGCTCTCGCGCTCTCGCGCCTTCGCCCCCCCGCCCCCGCCCCCGCCCCCGCCCCCGCCCCTCCGGCCGGCCTCCGGCCCGCCCCGGCCCTGTCCGTCAGCGCCCGCGAGAGCCAATCCGGTCGCACGGAAGGCCCGGCGCCGGTCACGTGGGCAGGCCCGCCAATCACCGCGTCGCCCTCGGCGGCGCCCGCTCCGCGGGCCCCGGGGCTTCGGTGGCCGCCCGCGGAGGGGGCGCGAGGCGGGCGCCGGGGGCCGGGGTCCCGTCCTTCGGGACGGCGTGGCGCGCAGTTGATTAGCTGACTGCCCGAATTCCGAGACAGATGGGGGCGGGGCCCCGAGGGGCTGCACGAGCCGCCGGGAGTGGGGGCGACGCTCCCGTCTGGGGACCCGCTGGGAACAAGCCCTGCCCGGGCGGGAGGGCTGGAGCCCCTGCCACGCGTCCCTCGAAAGTTTCGCGACCTTTCTCGTCCTTGCTCCAAGGGATGGAAAGCATTGCAGCGGCGGGCGAGACCTGGGGGTCCTGGTGGCGCTTTACAGTCTGGACAGCCGCGGAGAGGGGGCGCTTTTCATTCATCCCCACGTGGCCCACCCGCAGGCGAGGGGGCAGCAGCCTCCGCCCGCCTAGTGACTGGAGTATAAAGACTAGGCGTGGAGAGGGGTGTTGGTGGAGACAACACGCCGTCTGTGTTCATCCCCACGTGTTGGCATGTGTGTCTCCGTGGCTCTGTGCTAGACTCTTGGCCTGAGCGGCGGCCTCAGTGACCCCTGCTTTGTGAAAACTTAACCAACCCTCATGGCACTGCACGGGCAGTCTCAGAAAGAGGCCCTCGGGGAAAACACGCAGTCAGGCTAACGGTCACAGCACCTTGGACAGTTCAGGCATAAACCAGAGAGGTTGTGAAATAATCTGACGTGGGGATCTTTAACATGGCCCAGATATTCTTGCCAATAATTCCAGAGTCAAGAAGTCGAGAAGCCCAGTGCTTCTGCCAACTCTCAGACTCATGGGGGGGAACCTTTGCTACCCAGCAAAGCCAGGCGCTCGTTACCAGCAGGGTACCCAGGTGGTTCGAGAATCTTAAGTGCTGTGTTCTCCAAAACCTTCTTCCCCCATCTCTTCCAACCAAGGGGTATGACAGTGCTCCAAGCAGTTCGCTCTAATTATTTATCAAGGTGGTCAAACTACCACTTGTCAGTGTGTCTTGGGCCTTTCTGGCTTCTCAACTACAGAAGTGAAGCCCACTGGGCAGTCTCAAACATCGTTCATGACAATTAGAGATGCTTAAGAGATCCTTACTAGAGAGGATGTAGCACAAAATTCAGAGTTTCAGGAAACATATTAAATCTATTGCAACAATGGTTCTGGCTACAGCAGAAGCAAATGTCTAAGCAAGAAAAGAGGTTGGGAAGCCTCAAAGAAAATTTCTTCTGGTATCATTAAACTGTTGATTCTCAAGCATGGCTGCACAGTCTTTAAGGAAATAGATTGTGGTGCCCTGTGCCTGGAGATCCTGATTGGGATGAGAATTGGGGCTTGAACAGCCATAGGTTTAAAAAGTTCCACTGGTGATTGGATATCCAGCCATGCTTGAGAACACCTGCATAAGCTGCTAGATGGATAGACTCATTCCGTAACAAGGAACACACATCTCTGCAGCACAAATCGCTAATGATATAAACACCCTGTAAACAGAGGAAAATCTCCACATAATTTGTGAGATTCAATTTTAAAATGATTCATAGGCAATAAATACTCTGAAGACTATTTAGTGGAACAAATTGAAGAGCGGGGTCCAGTTGACTGAATATTTCTGAAAGATCCTGTTGCCTTTTGTTAAGCACACCAAGCCGATCAACTCTTTGGTGACAGCTTCACTCGTTTTATGCCTTTCTTAACTAAAACTAATTGCCATCTGAGCATTAAGTCATCCTCTGAGACATATTTCAACGTGTACAACAGAATTATCAGAGGTACTTGTTAAAAGGCAGATCCAGCCAGGCTCAGGGGCTCAGCCTGTAATCCCGCACTTTGGGAGGCTGAGGTGAGTGGATTGCCCGAGCCTGCAGGTTCGAGACCCGCCTGGGCAACTTGGCGAGACCTCATCTCTACAATAAACCAAAAAATTAGCCGGGAGTGGTAGCGCGCACCTGGAGTTTCAGCTACTTGGAAGGCTGAGGCGGAAGGATCACCGAAGCCCAGCAGGTCGAGGCTGCGGTGGCCGGGAGTGTCCACTGCATTCCAGTCTGGGCGACAAAGTGAGACTCCAATTCAAAAAAAAAAAAAAAAGGCAGATCCCCAGGACCCAAGCTAGAACTTCATCTAGCCTCTCTTATGCAACAGTTCTGAATCCAATACTGGTTAAATTTAAGTCCAAGTTGTTCTTCCTGATTCATAGACTACATACAAGCAAACCTTCAAGTAAAATTGCTTTGCTGTTATTTAAGTTTGCCATGCTAGCTAAAACAAAGGAGTTGAGTCTACTTTAAAGAATTATCTATTGATTAGGAAGATCAATTGTCTTTACTAGAGTTTTACCAAATTCTGTTATTTTGTTGAAAACAGAAGTGATTAGTGCCCAGATCTTTTTTTAAAATTATTTTTATTTTTATTTTAAAGATGTGGGGTACAATTCAGGATTAGGTATACAAGTGGTCATCGTACAGGTAAGGTTTGGATCTCCCTTTGGTCCCCACTTTACCTGGTTTAAGATCAGGTACCCTGGCCGGGTATGGTGGCTCAAGCCTATAATCCCAGCACTTTGGGAGGCTGAGGCGAGAGAATTGCCTGAGCCCGCGGGTTCAAGACCAGCCTGGGCAACATGGTGAGACCTCGTCTCTACAGTAAATAAAACAAATTAGCTGGGCATGAGAGTGTGCGCCTGTAGTGCCAGCTACTTGGAAGGCTGATGCAGAAGGATCACCTGAGCCCAGCAGGTCACTGCTGGGGTGGCCATGAGCATTCCACTGCACTCCAACCTGGGCGATGTAGTGAGACTCCAACTCAAAAAAAAAAAAAGTAATTGAGGTTAGACTTATATGACAGATGGACACCAGAATCCTGGGTCATGAATGAAATCAATTACATTTAGAGGAGCTATTTATTGTTAGAGAGATAAAAGTGTAATTTGCAATTATCAAGCACTCCATGGGGATTCTGATTATAATGGGGCAATGGGTGATTCCTGGGAGTTGGCAAATTGGTGGGTGGTTTATATCTTATCTCTTTCTTTTCTTTCAATTTTATCTAAATCTCTTCTAAGCAATTTCTGGGGAGAGGGGTAGGAAACCTTGCGTGAGCTAACTCAGGTACTAATATATCCATTTCCTGAAACAGGACAGCAGGTTATGTATATGAAGCAAGTAGTCTGAAAAACAGAATGAATGACAGCCTGGATATTCTTTTTTCAAATTCATATCTTCAAGCAAGAATCTTAGCTTCTCGTTGCTTCTTTCTGTAATGATGACACCACAAAGAGAAAAATAAATGTTTTTTTTCTAGTTACTCATACTAGTTAACTAGCAGTGAAAACAGACCTTATTTTGCCCAATAGATAATGCTACAAGTGTACAAGGTGAGAAAAGTTTCTCCCCCATTTGAATGCTGTGAAGTATATTTTTAAAAGTGTCAGGGAAGAAGGGAAGCTAGTTTGCAGGCTCACACATTGGGCTTCCATATTTCTGGTATCACAAACAAAGTCACTTTTGAGCATGCCGGCAGTTGCTGGTAGAATGTTCTGAGGTGACTTCATTAATTTAGTTAAAAACTAAGTAGGTCATACCCCACTATAGCAAATATCACTTTATAGAAAAACTTTGTGCTTTTCTTTTTTTTTTTTACCAATATTTTTTATTATGGTGTTGTGGGGTACAGTTAAGGGTTAGGTATACAAGTACATTTCATTCAGGCACCCTGTTGATAAGAGGTGTTTCCCCATCCCCAGACAGATATTTGCTGCCATTGATCCCGGCTCCCCCCCCATAGTTTCCCACCACTATCAGTCATTTTCTTATAGTATTACATTGGATGTTGAAGGTCCATTATATGAGTGAGAACATGTGATACTCGGATCTTTGTTTCTGTGAGAGGTCTCTCAGTTTTATAGGCTCTAGTTCCATCCAGGTTGCTGTAAAATTCATGATTTTGTTCCTTTTTATGGCTGTGTAGTATTCCATTGTGTATATGTACCACATTTTTTAAATCCAGTCCTCTTTTGATGGGCAGCATGGTTGCTTGCAGGTTCTTGCTATTGTGAACAATGCTGCTATAAACAAACATGTGCAGGTATCTTTTTTATAGAGTGATTTGAGTTCTTCAGGATATATTCCCAGTAGGGGGATTGCAGGGTCATATGGGAGGTAGATATTTAGAGCTTTTAGGAATCGCCACACTGCTTTCCACAGAGGTTGCACTAGTTTATACTCCCACCAACAGTGTAGAAGTGTTCCCTTTTCGCCACACCCTCTCCAGCAGCTGTTATTTTTTGAGCTGTTGATAATTGCCGTTCTGACTGGAGTTAGGTGGTATCTCAGTGTGGTTTTGATTTGCATCTCCCTGATGATTAGTGAGG